AGGTCGGGGTGCCGAGTGAGAACCGTCTGGCGCAGCTGGAGGCGGCCATCGCCCGTGTCCTGGCTGCGGCCAGCCCTTCGACCCTTTGTACCCCTTGCGACGCCCCCGTCGGGGGCGAGGAGAGCACATTCGACTGGATCCTGGGAGTCAGGCTGTTCGTCGTGGGCGTGCTGGTCGGGACGTTGTGCACCCTCGGTGTCGTGGCCTGCTGTTCGTGTGCCAGCGGACGAAGCCCGAGAGTGCGGGGACCACCACGGAGCACGGCTGCTCTGCTGAACGTGGAGACGCCTGAGAGCAGGAGGCAGAGGGCTGAGCTGAGCCGATGAGTCTGGACATTCCTGAGCGTCAGATGCTGGTTCATTATCCTGACGACAACATCCCCTACCATCACAGAGTGCTGATTGTGAAGCCGGAGGGCTCACGATGGGTATGGTCGACTCCCGACTTCTCAGTGCGTGCCGTCGACTTGGCCGACCGTGCGGCCGTGGTGTCGATGGTGCCGCTGCAGAGAGCGTCGCCCTTCCCCCCTCAGCACCACGTGTACGCCTTCGACAACCCGATCGCCCCTCAGGATCTGGCTCGCATCCGCTCTGAGGGCCGGGCGCTCGCGGAGATCCTGGGCGGACCTCCGGCCCCGGCGTCTGGCGTTCCAGGCGGCGATGAGGGCGGCTCTTTTCTGTACTCGGACCCGTCGTGCGCTTTCTTCGCCGAGGATGTTGACGATCACCTGCTGGGATCGGAGGCCACAGCTATCGCCCGAGGTTCTGTGTGCCTGATCAAGCGAGGAGAGGAGTGGACCACCGCCGAGAGGATCTCACCGAGAGATAAGCCACGCTGGATGCAGGAGAAGCTCTGCGGTGAGAGCCGCGATTCACGGCTGCTGCCGCTGCACCTGGACGCCGGCACACAGACGAGGAGCATCATGTTGCGAGATGCGGTGAAGCTGTTGCGCCAGTCCCTGGAGTCGAACGGTTTTCCCGTTCCAGAAGTCTCGCTCCGTGCTCGAGCTGGCGAAGGGTGTGGCAGCGTCGGGCCACGAGTTCGGCACCTACCACGCCTTCTGGGTCAGGAGTAGCACCGTGGGCGAAACGACGGCCATCGCGATTGAGCACTTCCACCTGATTAGTTTGCTTCACATGATGGTGTGCTACGATCAGCTCAACCTGCCGAACATCGCAGCGGCGGAGTTCGCCTCTCGGCGCGCCCTCATGATCCAGAAGGCGGCAAGGCGGAATCCGCGCAAACCAGACTTCGAGGGTTTGGAATCGTTGATGGCGCACGCCTTCGACTCGAGCGGGGGCGTCGTCACCGCCCAGTTCGACGCTGAGATGGCGGAGACGCGCAAGACGCAGGAGATCATCATAAAGTCGGATCGGCTTCTCATGGAGGAGGTGGAGGCAGATACGAAGCGGCAGAAGGACAATAACAAGCACAAGGGCGGCCCGGAGGGGTCGCCGGGGTCATGATGCTGCTACGGGATCGGAGCGACGTTGTTGGCCGTGACGACGTCCCTCTTCATTTCCCCCCTGTGGGAACGGCCTGTGGGCACGGTGTTTCCTCGGTCTCCTTCGACTACTCCGACCAGCGGGGCCACTGCGCCATCCCCATCTCGACTGGGCCCTCGGCGACTACGGCCGCCCTTCAGCCTGGTCGGGACGTCTTTCCGCTGCCGCGTGTGGTGGACAGGCGCGATGCGCCCCTCGGGGGTATCTTACCGCGTCACGCTGCTGCTTGTGATCGGAGGTTCGCTTAGGTGGTGGCCTCTCTGAACGCATTGGCCTCGGCGCGAGCGGGGCGCCGGCTTTCGCGGTGCACTACAGCAACGGCACCTACAGATCTTCAGCGAGCTGTGGGGCCCGGCTGAGGGAGTCCATCCGGGGCCTGGGTCGGCCCCCCTCTGGGCCTGACAGGAAGTCCGCCCTGCGGGGCGTGCTTCGTGCTCTGAGCGTCTACGACGTCACTGCCGACGATGCGACGCGGTGACCGTTTGATGCCGATCGAGTCCGTGTGGTACGAGATGGAGGCCTTCACCCTAAGCCAGTCGGCACAGTGGTTGGGCCACGCGCTCGACCCATGGCGGCTGATCCGTGGGGGTGGAAATTCAGGCTACCCGATGACGAGAATCGTATAGCAGCGAATGCCCAGGTGAAGCCCTGCCTCGACCCTGCGTTGAGGGACCCGAAGAACATGAGATCCCTGGTTCAGAAGCTGCACGATGCTAAGATGCTGTCCTTTCGTTGTCACGCCCGATGTTTCGCGGGCGCCTTCACGGTGATCAAGAAGGATGGGTTTCACTCGCGCTTGGTTCTAGATTGCCGCCCAGCTATAGAGTTGCTTCACCGTGCGCCGCCCGTGAGTCAGCTGGCCACCGCGCCCTGCATGGTCGGGCTGGCCCTGAGAGACGTTCGCGGGGCAGCACGCGGAGGCAGGACGGCCGCTGGACGTGCATTTCTCGGGGGCCGACCTCACTGACGGGTACTTCCAGTTCGAGTTCGAGGAGGTGGCGGGAAACTTCTGCCTGGCCCACAGGGTTCTTGCGTCGGAGTTCGGAGTCGCACGAGTGTTTGACGACGATGCCCGACAGTGGGCCGACGTCGACCCCGAGGAGACGCTCTGGACCTGCGTGAAGGTGATTCCGATGGGTTGGACGTGGTCGCTTTTCTTCTGCCACTCCGCGCTTGCAGACGTTCAGGTCGGCGCGGAGATGAGGCGGGCGGGCGACGAGAGACGGGGCGACGTCGACGCGCGCGTGCTGCGTGACCGTCGGCCTCCTCCTGCCCCCAGCCTGGGCGCCCCATTCTCGCGCCCGACGCGGACAGCGCCTTCCTCGTATGCTGGGGCGCCCGCGATGCCCAGGAGTCCTACGAAGCGCTGCTGGCTGGGCTCCGCCGCCGCGGCTTCCTCTGGCGAGGCGACATCTGCGCGGGGCGGGGCGTCGTTCAGGTGGGGCTTCGGTTGATCGGGGACGCCCCCCCCCCCCCCGTGGTGCTCCACAAGCGGGAGAGGGCGCGGCGCTTGCACTACGCTATCCACGCGGCGATCCGCCGCAAGACCTTCTCCGAGCGGCAGCTCCGCAGGCTGATCGGCCACCTGGTGAACCACTTTATTGTGTTTTCCGCCCTTTATGCCCGCGCTGCACGAGGTCTGGCGCTGGCTGGGCGAGCATCTGGACGCCGTGGGCGACCTCGCGCCGAACGTGATTGGCGAGTTGCAGGTTGCCGCGGGGCTGGTGATGATCGCGCGCCACACGATGAGGCCCAGGACGGCTACCACGGTCTACTGCTCCGACTCCAGCGAGAAGGGCTACGCCTTGCATGTTGGCCGGTTCGCGAAGTGCGAGGTTCTCATGGCGACGGCCTGGCGGGAGCGTTGGCGGTTCAAGACGCTGGAGGAGTACTTGTTGGACGAGGAGGCCGTCGACCCGATCGGCATCCACAGCTCCGTGGGGGACCAGATGAGCTCCATGGCCCCAGCGTTCGAAAAGGAGTTCGGGTTCGAGGAGGTCGGCGCCGCAGAGCTCACGTCCACCACCTGGAGCGCGGGTACTTCGAGAGTGGCGTCGCGGCGTGCAGTGGAGGCGGTGGAGACGCATGCGTTGCCCGAGCTCGCGGAGGTCTTCCCCGATCGTCTGCGGCGGCGCCGAGCGGTGATTGGCGCCTGGTGCCGCCCCGAGGCTATCCACAACAAGGAAGCCCAGGCGGCGCTGCTGGGGCTCCGACGGCGCGCGCGGGCCTCGGCCCACTTCGACTCCGAGCTGCTCTCGATGGGCGACAACCTGTCGGAGATTCTGGCCACCGAGCGAGGCAGAGCCAAGGGCGCGGAGCTCAACGCGCTGTGCCGCCGCGCCGGGGCGTTTCATGGGGCTTGCGGGGTCGGCTGGCGTCGCCGTCACCTGCGCATGGTCAGCGAGCGGAACTGCTCCGACGAGGACTCGCGGTTGGCGGACCGTGGGCCGCTGGCCGCCGGCGAGGCGCTCGACGGTGGAGCGCTCTGGGCTCGCCTCTGTGCCGCGGGGCTTCGAGAGCCGGCTGATCGCGATCGGTCGCGGGCAGCTCCTGCGCCCGCCGAGCCTCCTACGAGCTCGGGGATCGCCAGCAGGGCGAGGGTGGGCAGTTCACTTTCGCGGTCTTCGTCACCGGGCACTTCTATTATATTTCAGAACGCATCCCAGCCTGGTCGCGCGAGGGTTGGGGGGGCGGAGACTGGCCGATCCAGGGCGAGTTGTCGCCCAGCGCTCCCTGCTCCCGCCCGGGCGCCGGCGGCGCAGGCCTCATCCGCAAGGCCTCCACCGACGGGGCGCCCCGCGTCTTGCAAGTTGGCCATTTTGGAGCTGTTTGCAGGATGCGCTCGGTTGTCAGGCGCGCGCCAGCAAAATGAATTGAGGATAGCGCCTCCCTTCGACACGTCCTGTTCTATGGATTATGATGTTACATACAGTCGAGTCTTGAGGATGATACTAAGATGGATTAAGTCTGGAAAGATCTGGATGATTTGGATGGGGACCCCGCGTGCTCGATGGTCTAGTGCTCGAAGCAGTCCCCTGGGGCCCGACGAGATCCAAGACCCGACCGCGGTGGCGACTATCCGCATCTTTCGTGCTGCTCATCATCATCGTCATCATCATGTCAAGTGGGTATTCGAGCGCCGGATAGGCTCCAAGATCTTCAAGTGGACCCCGTTCAAGAGGCTCATCGAGGCTCAGGACGCTCAGGGGGCTATAGTGGACTACTGTCGGTATGGGATTCCTCATCGCAAACGTACGCGCCTTGCGGGAACTCTACGGGGCCTGTCTACGGTGGCTAAGCTGTGCTCCTGCAAGGTCCCCCACGAGATCCCCCAGGGTAAAGTGAAAATCTTGGTGAGGCCCGATGAGTGTGAGATGAAGTGGACGACCACCTCAGCAGAGGCTTATCCTCCAGCGCTGTGTCGCGCCTTGGCTCGAGTCCTGAAGGATTAGGCTCCTTCAGGTGCTTAACGTATTCGTAACGAACCCGTTCTCCATGCCAGCTGGGTCCGGGACCTGGCGGCCGCGCTCGGAGGTCGAGCAGTCCAGCCGCCGCCTGTCTCAGGTTGCCCCAGGCGCTTCGCCTGCCCGTGGGCCGAGACAGCAGAACGCTGGGGCTGTGGCGACTCGCTTCAGCGGCGGCAGCGCGCCCTTGCTGCCCAGCTGGACGCGGGCGCGGCCCCCGGCCCCAGTCAGCCGAAGGCCGAAGGTCGCGCGGGCACGCCAGGTCGCAGCAGCCAGGCGGCGCGCCAAGAGACCAGCTCGACGAGCCCGAGGGCGACGAGGGGTACTTGGCCGGGCGCCGCGTGAAGCCCCAGACGCTCAGGCGGCACCAGGAAGCCATGCAAGGCTTCACGGCAGCGTGCCCCCGAGCGGCCGGGCACGGGTGCGCGCTGGAGGAATTCGACGCGATGCTCGAGCAGTACCTCGCGATCCAGTTCTTCTCGATCGGTGCTCGCGCCCACGAGGCGCGCGACGTCTTGTGCGGGTGCGCGTGGATGCGACGGGCGTCGGTCGCCAAGCTGCCAGCCGCCCTCAGCGCCGTGGAGGGCTTCCGCAAGGAGGGCCCAGGCTCGTCCCGCGACCCGTGCCCGTGGGAGGCCGTGGTCGCGATCGCGGCCCACTTGATGATCCACGACAGCTCGCTGGGACCGTGGGCAGCGGCGGCGGTCCTCCTCGGCCTCGACACCTACGCGCGGATCGGGGCGTTGCGCGCGGTCAAGGCGCACGACCTTCTCAAGCCCGCCCGCGGCGTGCAGCCAGCCAGGTGGGCCCCGGCGTTCTCTCCAGAGCCCGACGGCGAGGTGAGCAAGACCAAGACGCAGGACGACGCCGTGCTGGTCGGGGAGGCCGCGGCCGAGAGGCAGTGGCTGAACCGCCTGATGGTGCCGCTGGTGCAGGGGCTGGCGCCGGAACAGCGGGCGCTCCCGTTCGGCGCGCACAAGCCCTGCGCCAGTTTCGAGACGGCGGCCGACGCGATCGGCCTCGGCCAGTTCAAGTTCGTTCCACACATGCTGCGTCATGGAGGGCCGAGCCTCGACGCACTTCGCGGCGTCAGCCTTCCCGAGATCCAGAAGAGAAGCCAGTGGGCTGCCCCGCGGAGCGCGCTGCGGTACAGCAAGCACGGCCGGTACATGCGCATCCTGCAGTCGCTGCCCAGGCACATTCGGGACCAGCACACCGCAAAAGAGGAGCTGCTCAGATCTCAGTTGTCAAGTGAGCTACGCTCTACACGTTGACCCACCCGCCCAACCCGACAGAAACCATAGCCAGAGGTAGTATGGAAGACGCTGTTGGTGACACTCTGGACTGATGGCATTGTCTCTGTGGCTCAGCTCAGACGCGTCTGCGTTGGCGAATTTCAGGCGAGCAGATTTCGACTAGGTACTTCGGCTGGGGAGGGTCAGCTGCACGTGCCAAAATATAAGGTTGCTCCCACTATGCATCTTTCCCCGTCCTTTTCTGTGATTGAGTGGCTTGCTTAATCCTGTTGCCTTCGGCACTCCGCTCCCCCTCCTGTTCTCTTGGGAGCCGCCCTTCTTGGCCCTCTGCGCTGGGAGAACGAAATGCCCAGTAGCTATGCTTCCCTTTTTCGTTCGGTGAGCAGTGGGGGTCGAACATAAGTTTGATCCGTAGTCTGTCGTTCCCGCCCACCGCCCCCTGTTCCAGCTAAATTGTTGGAGCCAACGCGGGGGGGGTCAGACGCGTCTGTGTTGGCGAATTTCAGGCGGGCAGATTTCGACCAATAATTTCGGCCGGGGAGGGTCAGCCGCACGTGCCAAAATATGAGGTTGCTCCCACTATGCATCTTTCCCCGTCCTTTTCTGTGATTGGGCGGGGTGGCTTGCTTGATCCTGTTGCCTTCGGCACTCCGCCCCCCCTCCCGTTCTCTTGGGAGCCGCCCTTTTTGGCCCTCTGCGCTGGGAGAGCGAAAAATATAGTTTCCTATGGCAATCGATGATTTTGGCTTCTTGGGGGCCTGTTAGGGCGCCTCTTGGACGCCTCTCGGGGCGTCTCGGAAGCCTCTTGGGCCGATCTTTGGGGCCTCTTGGGCCATCTAGGGCCTTCCTGGGACGGAAAAAGGGGAGAAGAACCGACGCGCATACAAAAACCCGGCAGAAAAGCCGAAAACGGCCATTCACGCCCACTCCCTCGCCCTACCCACCTCCCCTGGAACCCCTCCCTTTAGGGCTTCGCCCGCACCAGAACGTCATCACTCGCTCTTTCCGTTACCTGCTACAGACTGACCGTAGGTGAACCACATGTTTACGTTGTGACTACCATTGGCTTCACCGTAGGTCTAAGTTATACTAGATTTGCTGCAAGACGATTTTTAAACCACCACAGGCGCGCGGTAGGCCTACCGAGGACCTACCGTAGGTTTCAGGCAGGACCACCGTGGACCGATCGGCACCCTACGGACTTACCGTCACCCCACCGCAGGCCACCCATGGACCTACCGTCACTCGAGGCAAATCGCGAACATACCGCAAGCCTACCGTAGGCTCACCGTGGGCCTACCGCAGGCCTACCGCAGGCCAGCTATAAGCTTACCATGGGCCTACTATGGGGGTACCATAGACCCACCATCGGCCTACTACGGGCCTATCATGGACCTACCGTAGGCAAATTATAGCTTTACGATAGACCGACCATTGGTTTACCGTAGAGTTATCATAGGACTACATAAGCATGTGCACAGGATATCCATAGGCCTACAATAGGTGCACCAGATACTTACCATAGGCCTACCATAGACCTACGCATAATCTAAATCTAGGCCTAACGTGCGTGTATATGGAGATATACCGTGGCCTACCACAGGCCTACCATGGGCCTATTATAGGACTACGCATAGGCTACGCGTAGACCTATGCGTAGGCCTACGGAAGACCCATGGTCGACTTATAGAAGACCTACGGTAGGCCTATGCGCAGCCTATGCGTCGGCCTATGGTAGGCCTATGCGTAATCTATGCGCAGGCCGACATCAGGCCTAGGCACAGCCTGCGTACTACCAGGCAACACGGGCACACTTCGGGCCTGGCGGCCGCGGCATGCAACCTGTTGGGTGGGAGAAACCTTTCAGAAGTGTCCAATATCTCCGTTTTCGATCCTCCAGGGTCGGGTGCAAGACAGGAGCGGAATGGAGAGCGTGTCCGCTCATCGCAGGCCCCCCGTCGCCGTCCCCGGCGGCCGCGCTGCAGCTTGACGGCGACGAGGCGTCGTTCCGCGACAAGATGCGGCGGGAGCTGTCGAAGCTTGCGCAGGCCGGCAAGCGTCGAGGGGGCGAGCTGCGATCTCGGACGGAATGATGTTTCTTGATCCAGGCGTGTCTCCTCCGCCTCGAAAATGGGTTGAGGGACGGGGGGAGGGAGGGGAGCAGGTGGCAGTGGCAGGAGAGGGGAGGAGGCGGAATGAGGTGAAATGAGGAGCAGGCGGGCTGAGAAAAAATGCGATAGGGGCGGATGAGTCGGAGGAGGAGGAGGCGAAGGTGAGGAAGAGGGGGGGCGGGAGGGAGGAGAGGGATGGTTCGGTAGGGGAGGGGGATCAGAAGAACAGAAGGACATGACAGGAGCAGGAGGAGGATGGATGAGCAGGCGCATGGAGGATTACCAAAGTAAGCCCAATGGGGTTACAGCGATGCTCGAATACACCCTTCCGTCCCAAGCCCCCTCCTCGTTTGTCCCAAGAAGCATTCTTGCTTGCTGCGCGAAGCGACCTCCTCGAAAGAGGTGCACCCCATGGGCCCGCCGTCCAGAGGAGCTTCGTTTTGAAGGAGGCCGCCCTCCGTCTCTCGATGCACGTTCAAGACATTCGACACGGTTGGGATTCCAAGGTCGAAGAATTGCCTTGCGACAGCCTTGTTCTGAAAAGGAGCCGTCCTGCATCCGTGTAGCTTCTGCACGCTTGGAAACATCCCTAGGTAAAATCGAATGACGTATATCTCGATGGCCCCATTTTGAAAAGAAACCGCTCTCCACGAATGGAGTTGTTGCTCAAGCTTGCACCTGTGGTGTGGTAATCTCCGTTTGCGGGGTCTCACGGAGGCCCCCCCCCCGGGTGAGCCTCCCTGGGGGAGCCCCATTTTGAGATCGTGCCGGCGTCCATCCGTGTAATTGTCGGAAGGTTTTCAGACGAATGCGCATTGCGTAAGGGCGAAGGTCCGATTTAGAAGACGACGGGCCCTCCGTTCGCGAAAATGTAGGATCTTTCCTTTTAAAACGAGTGTGCGCGGCGACGAGGCGATAACCACGTCTTGGAAACTACCGAGCCTCCATCCGTGTGGTACACGGTTGGGAGCTGTAGGCCTGGACGTGCTGTGGAGACTCCAGCGAAACGCCCAGCCTGGCCTACGGACGCGTCTGGTGGTGCGGCCTGGAGGGTTCGCTCAAAAGGAGGCGGTGCTCGGGAGGACGGGGAGGTTACAGACGAGGAATATAGAACAGGGAGAGGAGGAGGAGGAGGAGGAGGAGGAGGAGGAGGAGGAGGAGGAGGAGAAAGATACGTATAAGGGGAAAAACAGGGCTTCTAGGGGACGTATTCGGGCCCTGTGAGCAGAACAAGTGGGCCCAGGGCGAAAACAGGTCCCTGGACGGGTGAGAGGTCGAGCCCTCTGGGCCCCCATCCAAGGGGCAAAATGCGGGTGCCGTAGCTGTGTCTGGCAAAGTGGCGCTGAATACGGTCAGGAGCTTTGGCTTAGAGTGTCGCGCCGCCGGTTCTGCGCTCTCTGCACCACACGCTATCCAATGCCCAGGCTTCAACGTCCCAAGCCTTCCCCAGTCTCCCGCCCCGCGGAGAATAGCGACACACCATCCGCTTGCCAAGCACAAAGTGTCGACGGGGCCGCCGCCGCAAAAGTTCAGACCGTAATCACACAACATATAGGGCGCCTCAGCCGAAAAAACAGAAGCCTCGCCGCCGAGTGCGGGCAAGACTTGTGCTGCCCATATCCACTGCAGCTCGGAGTTTCGGGCTCCCTTCCCCAGAAACCTGAGGTGCATTGGGTATGGATAAAGATCTGGCCCCTAGAGGCTTCATTTTTTGCATGTCGCATGCGCCTCGGCTTTGTCCCGCCCCTTCCAAGAAAGTCCAAGACGCACTGCATAGATGGATATAGATATTGCCAGCACCGAGGGGTCGAGAAGTGGGCTAACCTCGCCCTCGGCGGAAGCTGGCGGAGGGGAGCCGCGAAAGCCGTCTGAAGACAGAGGTGGGCTGCTCCGCTTGCGAAAGGTCGGAGTGAGTACAGGGTCCCCCCCCAGAGGTTCTCGGAGAAGAAAGGGCTGCATAAACATGAATTTTCGGAGCTCCGCGCGGATTTCTTGGATCGGTGCTGGGCCCCCCTAGCGGCGCTTATGGTGCCGCCCACCTGATCCAAGAAATCCGCGCGAACCTCCGAAAATTTGTGTTTATGCCGGCTTCTCTTTTTCTAGATTCGGATAACCCGTGTCCTTTCCTCGTCGTCACGGCTGGATTCGCTTCGCAATCTCGGTCAGAACGTACCGAGGGGGAGGTCCTAGGAGTGGCGGTATCGGTACCTTTGTCTGTTTCCACAAAGATATTGTTGGAGAGGGGATTCGGTCTTTCCAGAGCGGACCACGCGTGCGTGGTACATACGTGCCTGCACGACACGGCTAGGTTGCGCCCAATGAAAGGGTCTCACGCGTGGCTCGTGTGTGCATGCGTCTTGCTTAGCGTCATACATGTGTTTACTACTGGTGGTCAGCTCTAGCGTGATAGGCGCAGCATCAGCTCGAACTCCAGGTGTAGTTTGGGCATTGCCTTTAGCGTGAGACGGCGTTGGATACATCTTCCTGTGGACGGGTCTTCTTAACGTTAGCTCTGCAATCCATCTGCGTGTGCATAATACAGGATGTGTACACTTACACGCACATGCACATACATATAGTCACATACATCTATATACAGCTACAGACACTTACATACATATTTATATACACATACGTAAATATATACATATATATATATATATATATCCATATTATACAGAACTATGTTCATGCATACATGGACAGACTGTCGACGTGGTCCTTGGGCCCACCCCGCCTCCGCGCCTGGGTTTGAGGTCAGAGGCCTCTTGGATGCATGTGGGGATCTCTTGGGATGCCTCTGAGAAGCCTCTTGGAAGCGATTTTGGAGTGTCTTCGGGCCTCTTGGGGGAATCCTGGGGGCATCTTGGGTCCTGTTTTGGGGCTTCCTGGGGGCCTCCTGGGGCT